CTTTGCTTTGGCTATAAATGTATATTTTATTGTTTATGAAATGAATTCGAAAGGATAGCGAGAAAAAGAGGAAGAGAAATTGGCCTACTGCTTAGTTTGAGCTTAAACAAATGTATTGGAATTTTATTAGGTAAAAATGGTGTGACCCCACTTATGTCGGATAGTGGCAACAGATATAACACATATGCATATAATTTTATTCATACAAATTTCCACACATGCACAATTTGTTGCCACTCATATATACAAGTGTTTATTTAAATTTGAATTTGTGTGCTACAAAGTCTGTTACATTAAGCCGATTATAAGGATTTCTGTCACCTCTCGTTCGGGTAGTTGGAGTAGGGTCCCTTTGGATTATAAACAGCAAAAAAGGTTGTGTGACAATGAGACGCTTACAAAAGGCTCTAGAATTAAATTATGCTGAAGAATTTAAGATAAATAAAAGGATTACTGGGAAAAAATTTAATCGTGAATATTAGATTATTTAGCCAAACTTTTTTACTCATTTTTGAATTTAAAGCCAGATGAAAAGGTAACTTAGACTGGGTGAAGCCACTCACAGGTTCATTTCCTATAGCATAAAAGCGCAGTCGTTGACAATAATCTATGCCAAATTTCGTGAAGATGCGGTGTGTTCAAAAACTAACGTTATTTCTTTGCGAGATTAATGCGCGGAAAACTGTTTTTTTTTTTGCAAATTAACACATGTTCAATTGCGATCACTGACGCGTACACTCGATCAGCTTATTCGATCTTCTTAATGTGTCCCGTCGTTTTATGAAATGAGAACATTATAAAAAATGTTTTGAAGCAACCTTTCTAACGTAGCATCCTAAAGGTCCCAAATGAACTAAGTGATGGACAGCAAAGTATTTAAATACGAGTTGTATATATGTGAAGAAATGTTCTGACCATTACGGAGAAACTGGAAACATAGATGACAAGAGAGTAAGAGATAGGAATGACGTGATATAAAGTAGTGAGAACAAATATTGTTTCCCTTTTTGAAAGAATCCACGAAAAGCTAAAAACTTGTGTTTAAAAAGAGATTCGATATATCTCTAAATACATACAATACGGAACAGAGTTCAGAGATCTTGCATCAAACGCAGCCGTGCTGTAACCAAACCTCTACTTTCAAAAACACATATTGAAATATATTGAAAACAGGTTACATTGGGTGCAGGAAAACGCCAACCGTGGTTGGAGCAATGTAATATTTGCATATGAGTCAACTATTTTGAACGCACTGTATATACTGAAGAATTTTTGTTACATTGAGTTCAAAGAATTTTAATCGAGCAAACCCGGTTTTTTCAAACGGAAATATCAGAAAAATCTGAAAAACTATCTGAATACCCGTGAAATGAAGCCAATCGAAATAAATAACACTTTAAATGGATGAAAAGAATTCCCTGGACAAATCGTTTATAAACTTTTGGGAAAGTGAATAAGATCTCTGAAAAGTTGGCTACAATTACCAAATCAACAAAGAATTAAACTGAAAACTGTTCAGAATAGTTTTGAAGCTGTCCAATCGTAAAAACCCTGACTATTATATAGCTATATATATATATATATGTAGGCACTATTGAAAAACATATTTAATGAAGGCAGTGCAAGAAGTCGTAAATTAGTCGACGAGACTGAAAAAATACTCGTGTATAAAATGATATATAAAAATTGTATCGTAAATCCTTCTCATGATTAACCAAAAATGTTTAGCCGTATTAGTTCATCAATACCAAGAGATATCCGATCGAATAAGGGTCCCTTCATTATCTCATAAAATTATTCAATACAAGTTGGTTTGTTTAAGAAATCTTCGACTAAGATAAGTCAACACTGGCCTGTAGTACCCTTCTTCGGTGGTCTTTCGCAGATCGGCTATGGAATTACCGATTATTAAATTGCATGTATTAAGTTAACTTTTTTTTAAATTTATTAAACAAAATTCACAAAACGTGTTTTTTCTGACATGCAAGTGCAAATAATCCCTTAACATAGTTCCAATTTTTTTTTTTAGAATTTTTGAACTCACTTTTTGTATTCGGAATGAAATGCGTTTTAATTCATACAAGTATATCTGAGCGGTCGACGTAAACTAGTATTAGTTGTATTAAATCAGTTACTTAGTAAAACCTTAACATTTTGTCCTTTTTTAATAGCGGTGGGACTTAGGTCGTACCATACCGATGAGAAACAGAGAGGTCGCACGCGAAGTCTCCTTACCATTATGAAGTATTATGAATGCAAAATTGGTCTGAACTACTCACCGGAACTAGTCCGTTTTTAGAATTTACTTTTTGGTGATTAATACTAAAAACTTTAAAACCGTCATCCATGAATTATTCACCACGCACAGTGTTCTTGTCAAAACGTTCAACACTTCACTTATGAAATACTGTAAGAGCTGCTATGATTTTTTTATTATATACAACTTTTTAATTAACATAATTTACTTGCGAGATATGGCAACGCAGTAAAGATTAATCTTCTACATAACCGAATATCTGTCATTAATATCCTTATTATTATAAACACAATGCACAGTAGACTCATTCCATTCAATTTACATTTGTTTATGACCTAATTTGCTACACCTTAGCACCCAACAACAAACCAAGAAATGTAGACACGACACATTTGTATTCTCATACCCGCGTTATTGCCATATTTCTTAAGTTTAGCATAGCCATTTATCTTTGTTTAACGCCAAATTAATAGCAAACACAAGCCGGCAACAATTCGCCAAGCAATGCATGTGAGCCAAAAATTAGAATAGGTCAGACAAACATAAATTTTAAGCGCCCTCAAATGGTCTGCGAATATGCTGTGCAACTGTGGGCGGGACGGACAACTGACTGCGTTCTACTTCGCACAAATGTCTTGTTTAAATGTATATGTATGTGTATTGTGGGTAGGAGTTGGGTAGGCAGTTTTTGACCTAATAAAATGTTTGCTATTAAATATTTAATGTCCAGCATTTTGGCAAAATAATAAATGGCTAGGGAATATACCTGACTGATGCCATTGCTTTGAGTTTGAGTGCTTTAGAAATAGCAAACATCTGCCATTTCATTCAGAAATAGCATACAGCAATTTAAAGGGATATGCTTGTTTTGTTTACCTATAGGCATAGCTTTGAGTTAAGGAAAAGCTGCTTTAAAGGTGGTTGTTGAACAGGCGGTAAAAGTTATTTATGTATATCCATTCCTATTATCCCTTAGACTGTGTTATATGTATGTAAATGATTGTTAATGTGGACATTGTAGTTACATTTACGTACTACTTGAGATTTAGTTCGACATAAAGAATATCATTGCTAACAGACAAACCGGTAAATAAGTAAATATAGTAAATGATGACTACTACAATGTTACTCAGTTCCCTTTTGCCTAGAAATTGAAGCTTTTTGGTACGTCCACCAACAACACCACCACCAAAGTAACTTTGTGGTATGCACCATGCTGCTAGCGTTCCAAGACCAAGACAAGAGATGTTCCTCTAGGGTCGATTGAAGGGGCTGAATTGTGAGTGAAATTGTGTTTCCAACTGACCCCGAGCGGACCAGTTCGTCTGCCGTTTTATTTCCTTCTAATCCTATATGACGGAGAACCCAGATGATATTGGCCGAATTACCTACTGAGAGTCTAGTTATTGCCTGCTTGCATAACCTAACGCGGTGAGACTTAGTATAGGTGATACGGATAGCCTTAATTGCCACTTAGTTATCCACTAGAATGTTTATAGACTTGTTGGTTAGAGCAGAAGCTCTGAAAGACTGAATTGTAGTAATTTAGTTTTGAACTTGATAAACTTACTTCTACTCAACTAGCAGAAGCGTTAATATTGCCACCGACCAATTCCCAACCCCAATTATATTAAGCACAACAGCAGTTATGATGACCTACTAAAGCTATATTGTTCTTAAAACCCTGATGTGAAGAAAAGGTATTGAGTCAATTTTCATCGTTATATGAAATTCCAACTGCAAAATACAAGTTTTAACTATTATATTCGTAAATACATATATTTTTGTAACCATACTAATAACTTGGACCTGTTAATCCCAGCTTTTATCTGCTATGGAAGAAGAAAACTTTGAATAATTGGAAAGTCTTCATAAAAATTAGTAAAAAATGCTAAAAATCAAGGAAAAAGAATATTGTCTTCGTTAATGAAAGCTATATGCTAGTGTGGTGCAATAAGTAATTAGCATTACCGTCCGACTCTGCCACATCGCAAGATCGGGATCCGAGAAAGTTTCTGTGTCGTGCATCGAGGAAAGAGAAGTCTATGCTATTGGCTGGAAAAGTTTTCTGGAAGAACTGTGATATTCACCGACTACCTGGAGAAGGGGCAAAACGATCACAAGGCTCTACTATGGCGAATACACTATGTTGAGAAACAAATCGCGTTTTTTTTCCCAAATTTTCGTCTTTCTTTTGTAGGCTAAATATATTTTTGCTCGTATAATTTACAATGTGTTACCCAAAGATAGCACCAGTTTAAAGTCGTTATTTGTTGGGTGGAATAGTTGAAGATTTGATACTTAGATATTACTACTATAGTTTAAGCAGTTTACTGTGTCAGCCGCTTCAAGGTTTCCTGATTAGAAATATTTAAAATATGCACTAGTGAAATCGATTCATTGATTTGATTGATCGAAGTACATTGTGTCTTACTAGCCAAGAGGCTTTTTTAAATAAATTTCCAAAATAAACATTTATTTGCCTCATTTCATTTGTTTTGTTCATGTTTTGTATCTCTATCGGGATAGAACCCGAGCTTATTATCAAATTCCAGGGAAGCTTATACATACATTTTACATAGTCCTACATACACACATGTATACATATATACAGGAAGCGATAAGAAAGAAAAAGAGTAAGAATTTCTGAATACATACATACTTATATACGTACAATCATTGTATTGAATTTATATATGTAGGTTCCATATATATTCATAAAATGTATTTATATTTCATACGACAGTTGCCTGCGCTATTTCAGAGAGTACACTTCACGCTTTCGCGGTTACAAAATTTATTTATTTACAATAAATAATAAATTGCAAAAAAACAATGTTGCGATTTCTACAAATCTCAATTATATTTTTATTCGCAAGCATCTGTACCACAGCAGCACAAATGAAAGAACCGCCACTATTTCCAAATTGTATAGGCGAAATTTGTTTTTGTAGCCGCAATACACATGAGGCAGTCTACAATGGTATTAAATATTGCGCCCCAGATGGTAAAGAGAGTTGTCCTGATCACGCTGTACGATTGTCACAGGAAGTTTGTGAATGCAGAAAAGGCTATCGGTATCTCAGCAATAAGCGAACGAAATGTGTGCCAGAGCGTACGAAGCAACCCGTCCCAACAACACCAATAACAGATAAAACAACAATAACAACAACAACAACAACAACAACAAATATTACAACAACACCCGCTACTGTAATTACAACAACAAGCATAGAACCTAACACTACAAGATCGAAAGAGCCAGGAAGTAACATATTTTACATATATATTGGTATTTTAGTAATCGCAATTACGGCGCTATCGTTAATCGTTCTTTTGTATATTGAACGAAAACAGTATTGTTAATAAGTATGTATACTATTATACAGTTAATTTGTCAGTTTGAGTCCAAAAAGCACATGCATAAATAGAACACCATAAAAGTACACATGAATTTATTGTATATATAATTTTTTTTTATATTTTTTATATAATTGCACAAATGTCTGAATATAAAATAAAGTAGAGTAAGTGTAAACAAAACCTCGCAAAATATGAAATAATTTAGACCAAAACAAAAGTAATTCCTTTTACTTGATTTCTTATTTGCGATACTCTTATAACTGAGTTCACGCTCTATCATTTGCCTGACGAGTTCTCTGTTTCGCCCTTTTATTATTTTATTATATTACTTAAAGGCAAATAAAAAACCACTGTGTGAGTTTGCGGTTTCCTCGATCGGACTATGACTAAAGGCAATGACTAAAGTATTCTGAAAATACATTATATACTTAGAAGCCACGCCGGTTATCGCACTTGTGCATTATTTACTTATGAAACAATCGCTAATAAGCGCGGCAAAACTACAGCATTCAAGTATACTTACATAACATATATTTAATTTTACATACTTGTATGTATGTATGTTATATCACACCTATTTATTACACGGGTCAACAATAAAATAATTGTTGTTTGTCCTAAACTTTATACTATGATTTTTCGATTATTTAGACACAAAAATTAAAAGAATATACTGTTTTTTGGTACTAAGTTTGCTTTTGCGATAGTTATAATAATAATACCCTTTATTCGATTTTTTAAGTTTTTAATTAGTTTTAATGCATTCAAAAAATACCGCGATATTGGAGTGGAGTTTTTATATTCACAGAGTGCCTCCAGATGGCACTCAAGTGATGAATAACGATCAGGTGTTTCGTACATATCCAGAAGACGTTAATACGATGCCGATGCATTTTGTTATATATGTGGTGAATTTATGAAAGTTAGAGACACTAAATATGAGTTAACGTCATGTCAAAATTAGAATGACCTAATAAGAGATTTAAATTTACCAAAAAATAAAGCAGAGCTTTTAGGCTCTCGGTTAAAACAGTGGAATTGGCTTGATGATGTTAATATAACAGAGCAGCGAACTAGGCATGCAACTTTTTCAACGTTTTTCACAAAAGATGATAGACTTTGTTTTTGCAATGACATCAAAGGTATGTTTGAAGAAATTGGCATATCTTGCATTCCTAGCGAATGGCGCTTATTCATCGACAGCTCTACTAAAAGCTTGAAAGCCATTTTATTACACAACGGAAATAAATTTACATCCCTTCCAATTGCTCACTCGGTACATTTGAAAGAAAATTATGATAGTGTTTAAATCTTGCTTGACGCAGTAAAGTATGACGAGTACAATTGGCAGTTGATTGGTGATTTTAAAATGGTCGGATTTTTAAAGCGATTACAGAGCGGATACACCAAGTTTATGCGCTATCATGGGAATGGGACAGCAGAGCGGATGCTAAGCACTACATTCAGCGGTCTTGGCCTGAAAGAACCGAATTTTGTATCGGGAAACAAAACGTAAAATTCAGTTCTATTGTGGAAGCAGAAAAAGTGTTATTGTCACCTCTCCATGTTAAGTTGGGATTGATGAAACAATTCCTGAAAAACCTCGACCAAACTTCAGAAGCTTTTGAATACTTAAGAAAATTTTTTCCGAAATTACCAGAAGCAAAGGTTAAAGCTGGAATTTTTGTTGGTCCACAAATTAGGCAAGTCGAACCAGTTTCAAAGCAGTAGTTTCTGCATTTTTAGGAAATAATAAACCTAAAAACTATGAAAAGTTAGTTGCAAATATGTTAACAAATTTTAAGGCAATGGACTGCAAAATGTCTTTAAAAGTACATATGCTACATGCCCATTTGGATAAATTTCAGAACAACAAGGGAGTACAAGTATTCAGAGGAGCAAGGAGAGCGCTTTCATTAGGACATCATGAACTTTGAACAGCGATATCAGGGCCAATATAATGAAAACATGATGGGAGACTATATTTGGGGTTTATAAAGGGAAAGCATTAATGAACACAAAAAAAAAGCAAAACTGTACACTTTTAACTCATTTTCTGTTCTTTTGTAAGTTATTTGAATAGTGAAACTTAATAAAAATTATAAATACATTTATCTATGTAGTTCTATCTTAAATTAAACATTAAAACTACAGATTTTGAGAAAATTCGTTTAATTAGTTTCCTGGCCACAAAATCATACTTTTGAAGGTCATATATTTTTTTTTTTGGTGTATTTGTGACCTAAATTGACTAAATTTATTTTACACTTTCAAGTCGAGGTCAAATTTCGTGTTGACCCGTGTTATTGGTGTTTACATTTTTGTGAGAACTTTTTATCGGTCACTCTTATTAATTGGGTGTGTGCCCTAATGTTACAAGAACACAAGAAAAAACCCTAACTTCTGCTGCTAGCTATAATACCCTTCACAGGTGCATTTCTTTTAGCATAAAAGTATATAAAAGATATTTATCTTGATTTCAAACTGAGGAACTATTCGCGTATTTACTGACGGACACGGCTCACATTTTATTTATTTATACTTGTATACCGTATAGGGTCTACGACGTTTCCTTCTGGGTGTTAAAAACTTCGTGGCAAACTTAATTTACCTCAAAAACGTTTATGGATTTTATAAGAAGTTCTTTTATTAATAATATACTGCTATGAGATAGGAGTTATAATAAGATGAAGAATAATAATGAAAAAAAAACTTAGTAGTAATGTGAAAATTAGATTGAAACCCACGTTCCACAAAGCTATTTTCGACGAAGAGTGACGCAAACTACGCATAACGCTCAAATAATATTTTTTTGTTGACAATTTGGTCTGGCAGAAGGAATTCATAGTGTCACCATGACACACCTGACCTTTATGTTTTGAACACAGTGCATTTTGCATGCTGATGACTATTCGGCACAGTAAAGGCAGTTTGGTTATTTCGCAGGTCTTAAACCTTTTCTTATTGCAATATCTATAGCATTCTTAAACATCCAACCTTATGAAATGTGAAGGAACGATACCTTACATTCTCTAAAATTTGAGTTGACCGAAGCTCCCAAGTGCATATCTCGCGAATAGCATATGTAGACGGAATATAATAGATATAATAAGAGCTTTACACAAATTTATTGCGACCTCTCCTCGCTCACATTATTACATCCAGCTAAGGGAAGTCTAACAACATAGCTCGTGTAGTGTAGGCGACATGTTTTTTTTTTACAAAGGCATATGTTTCTGCTGATTTAACTCCTTCTTTTAGCAATCGCTGCGCATTTTGGGAATAGATGCTTCGGTATTTCTCCAAAAAGGCCTTAGAGCCGACAGTCGTCCGATCAAAGGCCCATTTTGTATGTGTAAATGGACACATCGGTCAATAGTGGGCTGTGTACATCGCTACAAGTAATCTCAATTTAGATCCGATTATAATATATGGTAAGTAAGATTTTATTATCTGTGTCCAAAAAATGTGTAGTCACCTCTTTTCAATATTTTCTTTTTTTCGGAGTCTTTCTCTTTTGGTTGATTATAAAGCTAGGCTCCGTTGCTATCGTCTTGCCCTACGACTCTCTTCAGCTAAAGAGCCTCCCTTCGGCGGAGGTAAAACATGAGAATCGAAATACAGGGTGCGTTCCAAAGTAAACAGTAAAAAAGTAACAAAGTAAACTCTAGTGGCGCCATCTTATTGTCGACTAGTGCGTTAGAATCTGCTATCCTTTATCGACTCCAGTAAAAATTTCATGACTTTTCATCTATTGGAAGTGAAGTTATTGCGTTTTAAGTGTCAGAATGTTTTTGTCATCGGTGCGAAAATGAGCTTCGAACAAAGAACCAACATTAAATTTTGTTTTAAAATTGGTAAAACTGTTACCGAAACGTTTCAATTGATGAAAGAAGTTTATGGCGCTGATTGCCTATCCCGTAGCAGAGTGCACGAGTGGTTTCAACGTTTTCAAAGTGGTTGTGAGGACATAAATGATAAATGAGTCGAAACCCAAAAAATTGCGACTGGACAAGTCAAAAGTGAAGACAATGCTGATTTGTTTTTATGATTCCAAGGGTATTATCCACAAAGAATTTGTTCCACTCGGCCAAAGCGTTAATGCGGTATTCTACCTTGGAGTTTTGAAGCGTTTGGTGCGCCGTATTCGACGTGTTCGGCCCGAATATCGCGAAGATGGATGTTGGCGTTTGTTGCACGATAATGCGCCGTCTCATCGATCGACGCTTGTGGCCGATTATTTGACCAAAAATCACATTTTAACAATCGACCACCACCCGTACTCACCTGATATGGCACCGTGCGACTTCTACCTTTTCGAAATAATACATTTGCCGATGAAAGGAAAGCGTTATGCAGACGTACCGGGCAACGAGCTAAAACACTCGTTCGACAAGCTTTTGGATCGTGCAAAAAGCTGTATTAAAGCAGAAGGAGACTCTTTTGAATAAAATTAATTGATTTTGCCGATAAAACCATTTGTTCTGTCTTTTTTTTAAAAGTCCTGTTTACTTTGGAAAGCCCATTGTATTATCACATAAATAACCTTTCAGCATCGCTTATCGATAATTTGCACTTATCTCGCCACACCCGTACACGATCATCTGCGAAATATCTGTCTATAAGAACTATTTCAGCTAAAATGTAATACATATTTAAACGGAGATTCCTCTGATTATAATGATTCTAATTGATATACTGTCAGTCAGACGTTCTTGTGACCACCCCTTTCAACCAACCAACTAACCAATTCAAATATATTATGCGTAGACTACCAAAGGAAATGAGTCGAATTCAATGTTAAAAAATCAATAAAATACTTTTTTTATAAAGGAAAGACGAACTTAGCGCAATCATCTCAAGCACGCTATCAGAAAATGAACACAAACAAAGAAGAAAGAAATAATACCATTAAACTACAGCCAGCCAAAGTGATTGTCTGGGAGAACTTCAATAGAAACGTGTAACTAAAACACATTGCAGAATATGAACTGTTTAGCAGCGCTGAAAAGCAGCATTGCTCGCAACACTTTCTCAAGTTTTTCTGTCATGCACCTTTCACTCATACAATTTGCCGTCTGCATTTCAATGCGTCCTATCTAAGATGCCTCCCCAACTTATGCACTTAACAAATGTATGGTGAGCGACACGCGAAAGTCGACTTGAGGTTCATAAATAGCGAGCTGACGTGACTATGCATTCAGCATACAAATATTTAACGCTCAAAGGTACCTGAGCTCAACTGTATCCGAAGAAAGTGTATAAAAGTGGGCGTTATTACAATAAAAACCGCAAAAAAAAGTATAACTTTCAATTTCAAAAAAATTTTAGCGCACACAGCAAATTTTGTGTTGCTTAGAATTTTAAGTAGATAACAATTTACCTCCCTTTCCTCACATTGAGGTGTAAATAGAATACTCTTAAGATGAAAGTGAAAGTGAGTGAAAGTAAAGATAGCTGTCAAGCAAAATTTTATTACATTTCATCAAAAGCTGTATTTAACTGACGGAAAGAAATGATATGATTTTTGGAAAAGTGTCGATATATATTTTAGCTTCTCACATCTTAGCTCGATAAACTCAACTTAACGGTTACCCAAGTTTTTTAATTCGTCCAAAAAATTATTT